AGGGAAAGAATAAATATGTGCCTTTGACTTTAACCTGTGCATCAAGCCCTTGAAACTCCAGTTATCTTGACAAAAATGATTTACCAGACAGCAGAGCAATAGAGGAAAGGACAGCTGATGGGAAGAAAACAAATCCTTTGGAGAGAGGGCAGGAAGAAGGCCTAGGGGATTGCTGAAATGGAAGGCGAAATGGAACGCAAGAGAAAGTCCTGGAGAACTTGGTGCTGTCAGGAGATTTATTTGCCAGGAGAACCCCCTGTGTTGCACATTTAATAATAAGATGTATTGTTACTGTTTGAATCTTAGAAATGAATTTCCAACTGACTCTGAAGTATCGCTGAAGGCACATCTATGCATTTAAAGAGGAAACCAATATTATTTTTCATTAAGCTCTTCTAAAGTTATAGCCTTGCTGCCGCTGAACTTCCTAACCTGAAAAAGGTGATTAATGGGCTGTGAAGGCACAGAAACAAACTGCTGCAAAGGTAAAGTGTGTGTGTGTGTGTGTGTGTGTGTGTGTGTATTTGTTACTTTTATTTATAGCTTCTAGGTTCAAAACCTTATTACCCATTGTCTGGGAATGGAGAAACTGTAACCCTCTAGATGTTGTTAAACACCATGGTCAGGCACGATGGGAGTTTGTTAGCAAAGTCACTTAAATAACACAAATGGAGTCCAGAGAGGGAAGTCCTCATAACACTTTATTGAGCAAACTGATCGAAAAGTGTATAACTTGAAAAGAACAGAGAATTTTTGTCTTACTTAGTTTATGTCTTATAGCAAGCAGCAAAATATTCAGCCAAACATGCAGAGGAATGCTGCCTCAGACTTGTACAGTTGTACCTTGGAAGTTGAATGGAATCCATTCCGGAAGTCTGTTTCAGAACCTGAAACCAAAGTGCAGGTTCTGATTGGCTGCTGGAAGCTCCTGCAACCAAAATGTCTGAGTACCAAGGCGTTCTGGATCCAAGGTATGACTGTACAGCCAATCAGAGCACATACTACCTCAGTGGAGACCCTGCTACTCCACCTGGTTACAAAACACCTCCACACCCCTCTTGGGTAGTTGACTAACACGGAGGACAGAATTAACCCCTTAAATTATAAAAAAAGTGAATGATCCCAGCTGTTGCACTTCCAACAGAGTTTGAGTCCAAAATATCTAAAGGGCAGATGGCTCCCTGTGCCTGTCTTAATCAGATCAGAAATTAAAGTATTATGCAACCATAATTTCACCATCCGAAATGGCACTCGTAAGAGTCAGTTTCCACCCAATGCCTGTGGCAGAATGGGACATCCCATCCAATAGAAATGTAGGTGGCTTTAAAAGGCAAACCCTACCAGCTGCTCCTATCCCTTTTGAATAGAGAAAGGAAAAGGCCTGGGAGAGTGAGATTATTATTTTTTTGAGGGGGTGGGCATGACAAGACAAGTGAGTATTGGTAGCGAAGACAGGGGCAGCAGCTAGCTTGTGAGGTCTGTCATCAACCCAGCTGGGAACTAAAATCAGAAAGAAGCAAGAAAATGGAATGCACCGTTGGATAAAGGGAAGGCCAACTACTTGGGCCAGAAAGTTGGGAGCAGAGTAACTTGCCCTGGGATCTTACAGTGAAGGGCAGGCAAGAAACTGCAATGGCAGAAGCAGCATGAAGTTGGAGCCTGAATGGGCAGAAATGATCTCTCCACATGGGGAAGACCGCTGCCCACTCACGCACCCTCAGAAGTCAGGCCACAGATAAGCAACTGTGGAGAAGGCTGAGAAATGCAGCACTGCCATCTCTGGGGCCCCAAGTAGGTTGGTCACTTACGCATTAAAAAGTGGAAATTCATTGCCAGAAAGAGAAGGATTTGCATAAAATATCCATCTGCTAATTGAGCCATATAGATGCAGAGTTAAGAGACGAAGACTATAAACTGAAATACAGTGCATCTCAGCAAAGTGGGGATGGCTGTGAATAGGTGACCTTTGTGTTGCCTACTCAGTCTGCTCCCTGTTGATGGGTAACTTGAAGGAAAGTCACCTCTCCCTATCTTACGGCTCTTTATCATTAAACTGGACTTCGACTGGGCAGCTTTTCAAAGAAAGAAATGCTTTAAATATGTCCAGCTCAGGGCCCAAAGGAAAACACTGATATTGGTGGACCCTGAAAGCATGTGTGGGCCCCAGCCAATGCCCCTACACTGGGCCCAAGGAATGTAGCTTGCTTACAGTGTGGTGTAGTGGTTTAAAGCAGTAGACTCGTAATCTGGGGAACTGGGTTCGCGTCCCCACTCCTCCACATGCAGCTGCTGGGTGATCTAGGGCTAGTCACACTTCTCTGAAGTCTCTGCCTCACTCACCTCACAGAATGTTTGTTGTGGGGGAGGAAGGGAAAAGGAGATTGTGAGCTGCTTTGAGACTCCTTAGGGTAGTGATAAAGCGGGATATCAAATCCAAACTCTTCTTCTCTTCTTGCATCCATGGCACTACCTGTGAGCCTCACTCATGGAGATTTAATGAGTAGCACAAAAATCATGGAATTTGCAGCTTCTGAAGGCAGCCTTGTATTGGGAGGTTTGTAACACTGGATGTTTTATGTTTTTCGATATGCTGTAAGCCGCCCAGAGTGGCTGAGCAAACCCAGCCAGATGGGCATTATTATTATTATTATTGTTATTGTTATTGTTATTGTTATTGTTAGACTGTACACCTGCAGGCCATGCAGTACAGCAAAATCACTGAAGCTAAGCAGGTCCAGGCTGGTTTAATGCTTGACTGGGGGGTTCATGTGGACCCATATGTATGTCCTAGAGTCCCATGATAGAAGAAACATAGGAGATTGGATAGCTAGATGGCTAGATAGATAGATAGATAGATAGCCAGTCAGTCAGACAGCCAGCCAGCCAGTTGCCTTGGGACAGAAGCCTTGTCAAGCTTCCCTTTCACTTCTGCAGCTGGATCATGACCTAACTTTTCCATACACCCCTGATTTCCAAACCTATGTAGAAATACTCCTTTAAGAAATAAAGGTACAATTCTCAAAAAAAAAAAAAAAATGCAGAAAGAACCTGAAGAATATCTCTCCAATGGTAATTAACTTCTTGCTGATATACTTTCATTTTAAAAATATAGTATTATTATGATTACCATCCCAAGGTTTACTGAGTCCAGGTTTGCATTTGACTCATTACCCAATCTAGTGCTACTTAGTTTATTGCTTTCTATCTTTTTTTGAAACTTCAACAGCTTTTTAAAAATTATTTTTTTCATCTGCCTGGGAAGTCCTGCTGTGCCTTTTTTGTGCCTTCATGATTGCCGACACATAAATGCCTGAATATTAACTCTCTTTGTATTTAGCAGCAGAGTCCCAACTTGCCCACAGAATACGCATAATATTATTATCGACTGCATGATGATTTTCTAACTCCAGAGAGGCATTGTTAAAAATGACAGCCCCATTTCATGGCAGTTTACCTTTCGTTCACATTGAGAAATGAATCTAATTTTTGTGCTTTCACCTGGAACTTGCCTAACACTATAGAAAACTGGAATCTTTAAGTTTCACTTTCCCTTGCCCCCGCATGATAGTTTAAATTGGAAATTTAAACCCAAGATGCTGAGAATTCAGAGAACGTTTTCAGTCTCAGACGGAGAAGGAACTAGAGTTTCCATGACTTAAAGCACAGTGGATTTCTTCACAGGGATGACATCCAGGGTGATCTGTGTCCAGATCATTGCTTGATACTGGGGCCACGACACATGTGGTCTTCCATTGAGCTACAACGCCTCACACCCCAAAGAAATCCCCTCTTCCTCAAACTCCTTTTGGCTTCTGTTGTAACTCCTCTAACATTTTCCCTGAGCAGGGACTGTCAAAGCTCAATGGCAGAGGCATTTTTTCAAAAATTCTCACAATCCAAATTTATCCTTACTCCCACACACCAAAAGGCAGCAGAACATAGCATGATACCCAAGTTCATTAAGATCAGCATGACTGCAAGCCTGTGTGCAGTTTCCTGGGAACAAATTCCATTGAATTAAGTATGTTTGATTCTGACTGCATAGGCTTAACCTGTAAAACCTATCAAGCTCTAACAAAAGATCTTCAGTCTCCTGAAAAGCAACCTTTGGCTCTCAATTAGAAATGCAAACAAGTGTTGCCACTTAAACTGCTCACATGAGGTGGGTAGGAACTGCTACATTAACCACACAAAAGACAGCAAATAAGTACACAGGCTCTGCTTGGTTCTTTTTCTCATTCTCTGACTTCCCCTATATCGATAAATACGAGCCTGTGATACCCTCCGGAACAGCGTAATGGAACATCCACACGTCTGGAGTTCAGGAGTTCAGGAAACAGCACAACAACACTGTGAGGTGTGTGCATGCATTAGCAGAGTAAGCAAAAACTGGATTGGTAGGAATGTGGCATGGAATCTTTATTTACAGCTGTCACGGTCCGGTTTATGGGCAGTCAAAGTCCTGGCAGAGAATGTCAGGACCGGGGGCAAGACGTCGGAGAGGGAGCAGGAACGAGAGTTCAGAAGCCAAGGGTCCGAGGGATCAGAGAGCCGGGAGTCAAGAAGCCAAGGGTCTGAGGGTCAGGAAACCAGGAGTCAAGGAGTCAAGGGTCCGAGGATCAGGAAACCAGGAGTCAGGAAACCAAACGCAGCAAGGCAGGAAGCTTGTTGCTGTGGCAAAGAGCCAAAGGGAAATGCTGACCTTATATCCCTTCCCAGCTCTTGCCACCAGGTGCTGTGAGTTACCAATCAGCCTCACCTGTGCGGCCGTGCCTTGCCTCTTCAGAACAAACTTCGGAAAGCCCTGGCTCCTGCACGCCCTGACAACAGCTTCAAAATAAAAGAATCATGGTGTGTGTCTTCTCTCATCAGCTCCGAGAGAGAACAGAACAAAGGACGGAAGTGAAAAGTTCTAACTTCCGTTCTCACAGCATAACAGTAAGAAATACAAAACAAGGTATCATCAGTTGTTCCATATCCAGTTCTAACTGTAGCTTCTTGTCCCACATAGAGATTTCTCAGGAGACAGATGAGGTGATCAGGCACTCCCATTTCTTTAAGAACTTGCCATAGTTTGCTGTGGTTGACACAGTCAAAGGCTTTTGCATAGTCAATGAAGCAGAAGTAGATGTTTTTCTGGAACTCTCTAGCTTTCTCCATAATCCAGCGCATGTTTGCAATTTGGTCTCTGGTTCCTCTGCCCCTTCAAAATCCAGCTTGCACTTCTGGCAGTTCTCGGTCCACATACTGCTTAAGCCTGCCTTGTAGAATTTTAAGCATAACCTTGCTAGCGTGTGAAATGAGTACAATTGTGCGATAGTTGGAACATTCTTTGGCACTGCCCTTCTTTGGGATTGGGATATAAACTGATCTTCTCCAATCCTCTGGCCACTGCTGAGTTTTCAAAACTTGTTGGCATATTGAGTGTAGCACCTTAATAGCATCATATTTTTAAATTTTAAATAGTTCAGCTGGAATATCATCACTTCCACTGGCCTTGTTATTAGGAGTGCTTTCTAAGGCCCATTTGACTTCACTCTCCATGATGTCTGGCTCAAGGTCAGCAACCACACTACCTCGGGTGTACGAGACCTCCATATCTTTCTGGTATAATTCCTCAACTCAACTCAAACCTCTACCATTGTTTAAAATCACCACTCTTTCCCTCTCAGTGACATTACATCCCTGGTTTACTGAAACATCTGCTGCTTTTTGAAATAACTGTTTTCCTCTTAGTGACCCTCATTCCCTAATTTACGCAAACATATATTGTTGTTTAAAATTGCCATTTTCCTCTCAGTGTTCTTCAACCCTGCTTTACTCAAAGCATCTGCTGTTGTCTTAACCACCACTTTTCCCTTCTCAGTATATATCCTGCCTCACTACCATGCCATGTTGTGCAACCTGCCCTCACCCCTACTGTGCCCTGACTTGCAGGCCCAGTCTTGTGAATCAGCACTACAAATCCTCCATTAGGGGTTGTGTGATGACATTCAAATACATACAACATGAAACAAAAGCTGTACAATGAAGGTGGTAGATGTACGTTTGTGGGGAGCCAACTGCACATCTTAAGGGCTACCACAGTGAATGTTTCTGGACTTTTGTCCACTCAGCCAAATTCAAAATCTGAAGATTTCTTTCTTGTCCTCTCTAGAAGATTCTTCTTTACTTCAGTAGGATTTCATGTCCTTTATCATGAGAAGCCATATATGATTCATCCAGCAAAATATTCTGCATGCCAGCTCTGAGAAGCAAATAAACATAGTTGTTGACCTCAGGATCAAGCCAAACACTTCTTTTTTAATTTTCTTTTTTAAAAGAACTGCTTTGCTGCTTCAACTACAGAGTTTTCAAGAAAAAAAGAACCTATAGTAAAAATAGTGTGACTAACAACACTTTATGTGGGGTGTTCCTCTGCCATTAGCAATGAAACATTTTTCTTTCTTTCCTAGTCTTCATTCTTCCACCTGACTGCAATAACCTTCAAACTATTCTTTATTCTCAAATGCTTACAAGCAAATAAAGATAATTAGAAAGAGTAAGGTTGGGGACAAGTGCCTATTATTTTCAACTGTGGAAACATGAATACGATCACTTTCCATATACATAAATAGTTTACCAACAGATCAGAATATTTACCAGCTAGTGCAGCCTTGTCTACTGTGGCAACATGAAAAGCTAATGGTGGGGGAATCTCTTGCCAACAGGCCTAATTTGACCCACCCGGCTTCCCCATTAGGCCTGTAAGTTTGCTTCAGCCAAGCCACATCCACCTTCCCCACCTTTACCTGTGGGGCAGGTAAAGCCATGGCTGTGCCAAAAGGGGATGATGGTCAGTGGTCACTACACCTTGGCCCATGTGGCTCAAACTGCATGGGCCACAATGGGTCAATGAATGTCATTGTAATGCCAGGCAATTGACAGGTGGGAAGCCATATGGGATCTAGTGTCCCACCCCTGTTCAAAACAATTTTCAGAGGCGGGGTACTCAGTCTCCTACAATAAAACCTACACTGAGTAGTGTCTCCGGACACCTTAAAGGCAAACCCTAAATCTGCACCGCAGTAAATCTGCCAGTATTTGAGGTGCCGTTTCAGAATCTTTATTGTTTTTCAGCAGAACACAATTACGAACATAATTATAACAAAAGCAAAAAGCCGGATCCCAATCCAACAAAGTGACATCTGAAATGTTTGCAGTTTAGAGTGGAGGTGTGGGGAAGACAGAAGCAGCTGAATTTCGAGAAAAGCCAAAGTAATTTACTTGGACCTAAGCTATAAATCTACTAGGCAATAATGACCATCTCTTGACACTGCGGTTGACTTTGATCAAGTGCACTGTCCGAGGCTTCTCCCCCTCCCCTCTCAACCTTGAAGCGTTTCCTGATGGTCTCTGCTAGTATTTATGTGCAGATGTCAAAGGAAAACTTGCAGGAGATAGCAAAGGTGCCTCACCTTCTAGGATCTCATGACCATTTACTGAAATGACGACAACTGCCCATCTCTCTTCCATAGAGATATGTTTTGATATCAGCAAATGTAGGCTTGGATAATGCAGAGTCTCTGAACTGAACAAATAGCCAGCCATGCACAGAGTGGGGATTCAATTAATGAAACTCCATTTTTAACTCACCCATTTGGAAGCGGGTGTTGCAGCAAATATTGATCACTTGCTGTTTTGAGACCGTTGTTCAAGACAGAAATAACACAGGAGTTTGCCATTGTACTCCACTGGATTTCCTGAAGTTTCATTTTCCTCAGTTGTTTCTTGTCAAGTTATATTTTTTTATCCAAGAGATAGATGGTGAAACAGGAAAAGTTTGGCACCTGCACTTCCTATTTCGTCCAGACCATTGTCACACCCAAAGCTATCCGGCAGCATGAGCAGATCAGGTAAAGGTAAAGGAACCCCTGACCATTAGGTCCAGTCGTGACCGACTCTGGGGTTGCAGCGCTCATCTTGCTTTATTGGCCGAGGGAGCCGGCATACAGCTTCCAGGTCATGTGGCCAGCATGACTAAGCTGCTTCTGGCGAACCAGAGCAGCACACGGAAGATTTGAACCGCCCACCTTCTGATCGCCAAGTCCTAGGCTCTGTGGTTTAACCCACAGAGCCACCTGCGTCCCGAGCAGTTCAGAGGTGAAGTACTTAACAGATGAAGTGGTTGCAGTAAACTCCTGGTGACTGAAAACGTAGGAAACAATGACTGGGTCCATTGTTTGTTCCTTCAACTTCTGCAGTTCCCTTTTGGCTTGGTATTTTTTTTGGGGGGGTGGAATTTTACAATCAAGCAGTTCACAATTTGGAAATAGATATTCCTTTCAGGCTTGATTACAAGATGTTTTAAAAGAGAACTGCAAAAGTTCAAGGCGTTTGTATCTAACTCTACTATCGCATAAAAGCAGGAAATCTATGAATCATTAAGCATTTCCTTTGGTTGTTGGGTTGTTTTTCTTTTTATGCTGAACATTACAATCAGCTGTGAAATGACAAGCACCCCGCTGTTGTCTTCTTAGGAGCGGCTAACAAAAGAACCACAACACTGGCTTCCTTTGTTGTCCTCCAACAGATAATGCAAATCTCTCCATGCAATCAGGCTTTGAAACCCAGCAATAACAAACAACCCATCAGAAACCATGTTAATAAAGTGCCACGGATGACAATACTAGGCGGACTTGATTACAAGGTGTTTTAAATGCAACAGATAACTCAGCGAGTTCACGGGATATAACTTATTAAGATATATCCGAGACTTGCTGTTGGCACAATTGGAAATGAAAGGAAGCTCTTTGCTTCCTCACTTTCTTCTTTCGGATGCCATCATGTAGCAGATCAAAGGCAGCGATTAACAGCCAGGGCCAAGCACAGTTGTCGAGTGGCTCTGGACAAGATCTGGGCTTGAAGGGGCAGCTGGCACCAAAGGCAAGCAAACAGGGCTTGGCAGGAGCCAATATAGAAGAACAGGAGAGATGAGCCAAGTCAACTACCTGGAACAGGCGATGAGGCAATGGGTAGGAACATCCATTCTATGACAGGCGGGATGCAGGCTGCAGCTAAGTGGTAGAGCACATGTGTATGCAAAAGCTGCCAGGTTCAACTCAACTGCATCTCCCAGTTCAACTCACAGCTGTCCATGGAGGCACAGGTCAAATCTGTGTCCAGGGCAGCTGTTTACCAGCTCCATCTGGTACGCAGGCTGAGACCCTATCTGCCTGTGGACTGCCTCGCCAGAGTGGTGCATGCTCTGGTTATCTCCCGCTTGGATTACTGCAATGCGCTCTACGTGGGGCTACCTTTGAAGGTGACCCGGAAACTACAACTAATCCAGAACGCGGCAGCTAGACTGGTGACTGGGAGCGGCCGCAGAGACCACATAACACCGGTCTTGAAAGACCTATATTGGCTCCCAGTACGTTTCCGAGCACAATTCAAAGTGTTGGTGCTGACCTTTAAAGCCCTAAATGGCCTTGGTCCAGTATATCTGAAGGAGCGTCTCCACCCCCATCGTTCTACCCGGACACTGAGGTCCAGCACCGAGGGCCTTCTGGCGGTTCCCTCCCTGCGAAGCCAAGTTACAGGGAACCAGGCAGAGGGCCTTCTCGGTAGTGGCGCCTTCCCTGTGGAACACCCTCCCACCAGATGTCAAAGAGAACAACAACTACCAGGCTTTTAGAAGACATCTGAAGGCAGCCCTGTTTCGGGAAGCTTTTAATGTTTGATGTATTATAGTATTTTAATATTCTTTTGGAAGCCGCCCAGAGTGGCCGGGGAAGCCCAGCCAGATGGGCGGGGTATAAATAATAAATTATTATTATTATTATTATAAGTACTTCTAGGAAATACTTCTCTTTAAATGATAGGAGAGATGCTACCAGTTGTTGTTGCTGATGATGCTACCTTAGATGGTCTAATTGTTTGAACTAAAAATAAGGAATCTGTTACATGTCATGCTTAAAATGTGCAGATGTGGCCTCATTCTATGTAGCAATCTGAAAGCTACCTTTCTTTCTATTTCTTGATAGTGATCGTCCACTCCAGCTCCCACCAAATTTCCCACCAGTCATTCTCAAGTCTCCCAGACCTACTTCCATAGGGTGGTCTTCTCTTAGGACTGCAAAATTATCCAGGAGTGGCTAACCTGTGATTTTGCAGGTGTTGTTAGACTGCAACCCTCATCATCTTTGACTGTTGGCCGTGTTGGATGGGTCTGATGGGAATTTAATAACATCAGGAGGGCCACAGATTAGCCATCCCTTTTACATCCATTTCCCTGAAAATAAGCCACATTGAACTCAGATGGGTTTACTTTTGAGTAGACATGTCTACGCTTACTGTGTCAAGTCTCAATCTCTGTTTTACCTTCAGTTCCCACCCCTCACCAGCTTTGCTGCTAGCTTGATCTCCCAGAGGAAGAACAACTTTCCATGTTACCATCAAGAAACTAGGGTGGTTGGGTAAGATGTCCCCAGATGCAGCAGTCCTATTCAAGGTGAGTCACCAATTGCCAATTGGTAATTTATTGCCGAAGGCAAACAGTCACACAGGGAGATGTTTGTTTGAGCATCTGTCTGCCTAGTGAGGAGAATTTTACCATGTCATTGCAGCTTTTTAAAATAAATAAATAAATAAATAATTCAGGCAATCAAAATTTTATTGCATAGCTGAAGGCCATAACAATCGGGACAGATTATATAGGAGTCAAAATACAAGGAATACAAACTGGCCAGCATAAATAATTAACACAGGCATCTCTCAATCATCACCTTTAAAATCAACAGCACTAGTTTTAAACAAGTTGACATTTACATTTTTAGTGGCTGCTGTACCAAACAACACCATGTCTTCTGATAATGGATTTATTTCTACCCTGTAACAACAGTAATTCTCCTCACTACATCTCTGCATTAACACTGCAGTCCAAACCCCCTTTGTGCTGGCCTGGGGAGACGAGGGATGTTGGATTGGGTGTCCCTTTGCCCAGACTTGCCAGTCTCTGCCTGCAGAGTGATGCCAGCATCACATCCCTGGCATAGAGCTCCCCATTCCATCTGCTGGATGTGTGGATGGAAGGAAGTGATGCCGTCAGTCAGCTCATGAAAGCCCCCAAACAGGGCATCCAAAACTTCCAAACTGGGGGAAAAGTAGCCAACCTTAGTATGAATACGGTTGCTGCAGAAGTTTGCTGTGAGTCTAGAATAATCTAATGAATATTGACCCCGCTACAAGTAAACCGTTCTGTTGTAATATATATTCAGCCCTCCATGCTCTTAAATCAGTGAGGAATGTAGTTCCAGAATCTACTATGGGAAAATAAAAGGCTTGTTTTATTAAAAGTTGCTGCCTTAGGGTGTTGTCATTGTGACAGTATCTTTAAACATCTATAAACTGAAAGAGAGAGAAATAAGTTATTGATTCTTCACCTGCACTGCTTTATGTATTCTTAAAAGAAGTATTGCAGATTTTAAACTTCAGCCTCTTCTTACTTGGTGGTGGTGTTTTTGTTTTGCTTTTTCATTTAATTTTTCTATAATTCAAGAAAAAGAAGAAGCATTTTTACTGTTTTCCAAGCACCATTACCCCATGTTTCCTGGTGCTGTAAATTCTCTTTGAGGTAGCTGTGGCAACTGTTTATAAGCATCAGATTCCTCTTCTTCTTCTTCTTCTTCTTCTTCTTCTTCTTCTTCTTCTTCTTCTTCTCCTTCTTCTGTTATTTATTTTAATTGGATTATGATTTCATATGTTAATTGGATGTTTTTTATTGGAAAATTAATAAAAATGATTTAACAAAAAGAAAGAAAGAAAGATTTTCCTTCTTTCATTGAAGGCTGAGAAGGCTCCAGTGAAGACGTGAGATATGAACTCAATCTCTTCTGACAGAAACAGTACCCACATAGGAAATACCCACTCAGATGCAGACCAAGTCTGTTGCCACTTAAGTGGCTAAACTGTAAAATCACACTAGTAATACACTTTTTTAAAAGAAAGTGCTGTGTGAGAGACCCAGTGGGGTTTGAAGGATGTAATGGAGATTTTCAGAGTTAAGTTTGAACCAAGCTTTCAAAGTCATGGGAATTTGGAATACGGGTGGATAAATCTGTCCATTTCTGGTCCATATCAATTTTCCACATGCATATTCATGCACTTGCCTCATCCTGTTTCTGCATTAATCTGTGAATCTTCTTAAAAGTTTACATGAAAATTCATGTTGAAATAACGTGTTTTATTACATGTTTTAATTAAAAAATCCTACTGTATATTTAATTCTAAATGCATCTTAACACATTTTAGTAGTGCATTTTGCTATATTTTCTGAGGCAAGAGCTGTAACACAAATTTTGGAAAAGTGTGAAATGCATGTTCTGATCTGCACTTTAGTCCTCATCTGACCACTTTCCACTGGAATTCACAGAAATCAAATTTCTCAAGCATCCCTAGTGAGTAATTCTCCTTTTGTGGATATTAAGACCTATAACACAGCTTAGAGTGCAGCTATGGTCTCTTGTGGAGGCTTACAAAACCCTTAAAAAAAACAAGCTAAAATATTTATTTATTTATTTATTATAACAATCACAGCCAACCTTTTTCCTCCAATGATGTTGATGTACATAGTTCCTTCCCTCCCCATTTAATCCTGACAATGGCCCTTTGGGGTAGATTAGGCTGAGAAACTGTGACTGGCCCAAGATCAATGAGGATTTGAGCCATAGTCTCCCAGACCCTCATCCAACACTCCTAACAAAATGGGGTTGGGTCACCACCTGTTTCAAAGTTCAAAGGGTACACCCTGTTTTCTGGATCTTCTTCTTTGTGATGATAAGTGAGATCCTGAGAGAGTACAGGGTGGATAGTAACCAGTTGGCTTCATAAGAGCTGGCCAACCCTTCTTTGACACAGCAGTAGATAATTTCTGTTGACATACAGAGTTAAAATATTTAGAGCAGTCCTGTTTCTTTAATTAAAAGGTCCTTTATAAAAGGAGCAAGCAAAACATGAAATTATCTGAGTTCTCAAAGAAAATCAATAGCCACTTAGAAAGTTCGGGTTATTAATTGGGAAGAGTATTCATAACATACATAAAACAGAGAGAAACTCTTCCCTGAAGAAAGCAATTGTGCCCTCTAAAACTGAGAAAAGACTGTGGTGAGAAAATAGAGGAGAGAGAGAGAGATTATGGGCAGTTTTGACATCTATGGGCAAGCAGCAGGCTATTTAAAAACTGTCCATAGTATGCCAGATGCCATCAGCTGAAACGGCATTTGCATCCACTTGCTGGACAGTACATTGCAGAATTCTTGAAGCATTGGGTAGGCTATCATCTGAAGTGGCAATTACGAAATCAGTTACCACTCAATAGAAGGAAAGAAGGGAGGTTCCCTTTCCCTCATTTTAATTAACTAGTCAGTGTCTTGGTTTTATTACCTGTTTCATGCTTTTTCTAATGTGATTTTTATTCAAACCATAGCCCCAAGGAAAGGGGATTAAGGCTATCCTTTTAATTAAGTCAATAAATGATTTAACAGAATGCAATCTTCCCCCAGCCTTAATTATGGCACCTGAGAAGGTTGGGTATCAAGCAAATAAATATTTTACTTTCTATTAAAAAACAACAACACCCCAACAACATAGGCAGGAGATTCTCTGAGCAAAACCATCTCAGGGGGAGCAAAAGGACTGGGGTTTGGCAGTCTTATGACTTAACTTGTTAAACATGGAAAGCTGTGCATTCTCTCTCCTCTTGTAATACTCATGGGCACTCAATGAAGCTGAATTTTGGATGATTCAGGACAGACAAAAGAACGTACCTTTTCTCAAGGTGTATAGTCAAACTATGAAATTCCCTCTCCCAAGGGGTAGTGTTAGCCAATAACTTGGGTGGTCCTATAAGTGCAGCAGACAGATTTATGAAGGCTATCAGTGGCTACCAGCCCTGGTGGCTACATCAACTCAACTCAACTTGTTATTGTCCAGGTCAACGTCCAGTATTGAGACAAGATACAAAGCCCATAAAGCACATTCTCCAAATGTGTGTAATAGAGTAAAAGAGAATTTTAAAAAATACAAATACCATAGAATAAAACAAAATGGGCATCAACAATTTAAAGTCAGGTACTCCAAAGAAAAAAAATTATATGTCTGGGATCAGTTCCTGGTGGGCTGCAGTATTTGGCCACACTGAGAGTGATGCATCCATTTTTATCCAAAAGGAGTAGAAGGACATAAAATTCATCTGAACACCCAGACAGATTTGATAAGAATTCAATAAGAAATTGATAAGAAAAAATTCAATAAAGATTTAACACAAACCACAGAAAAGGGAAGGCATGGGTCTCTGACTCAACCTTTCCAGAGTCGCTGGAGTACTTGTGTTCCATGGTAGGTTTCTTTTTCCTTTTCCTTTTTAAAGTATCTTCCCTCCAGGACTCCTGGGGGGATGGCATTTAAATGCATCAGTGTCAAGGCTCTGCAATGCTTTTGGACTGAGAGTGCAGAAGGATAGCTGCTCTGTTGGACTGGAGTGCTCTGTCAGTTAGAGCGTTCTTGGAATTTGAGCCTAGATCATGCTGGCATTCAACATCTACAATATATTACTTAAGAGCCACTCTAGCCTTGTCCTATTCCAGAGGGATGAGTGAACCCAAGTATAATCTGTTGTGCTGTGCCCTTCCCTAGTGGCAAGTGGGGAGAGGAGCAGATAACATTTGATTCGTTTCACATTTAAGGGTGAATCAACATAATCCATGTTTCCATAACAGCAACAACAACAACAATTTGTTAGATGCAAATTTGTTAGGTAGGTAGCCGTGTTGGTCTGATGCAGTCGAAATATATATATATATAGAGAGAGAGAGAGTGTCCAGTAGCACCTTAGAGACCAACTAAATTTGTTCTTGGTATAAGCTTACATGTACATGCACACTTCTTCAGATACGAAGAAGTGTGCATGCACACAAAAGCTTATACCAAGAACAAACTTAGTTGGTCTCTAAGGTACTACTGGACAATTTTTTTAATTTTTTTTATATAATTCAACAATTTGTTAGTCACTTTATCTTGCCCACTTATAACCAAAGCGACTTACAACCAAACAAACAAACAGGCAATAAATCTCACATAGAGATACATTAAAACTAAGAGGAGAGAGAAATACATTAAAAACATCCAACTCACTACTAAAAGGCCACATAGTTAAAGGCCAAAAGCTTGGATACAGAGGAATGTTTTTTTTGCCTGGTGCCTAAAAATATGTAGTGAAGGCCCCAGGTGAGCCTCCTTGGGGAGAGCATTCAGTGAACAGAGAGCTACCACAGAAAAGACTGGTTCTTGAGTTGCTACCCTCTGGACCTCTCGTGGAAGGGACACATGAAGAAGGGCCTCAGAACATGAGTGCAGTGTCCAGGTCAGTTTACATGGGGAGAGGTGGTCCCTGACGTATTGTGGTCCTGAGCCATTTAGGGCTCTATAGGTCAAAACCATCTCTTTGAATTTAGCCCAGAAAGTCAGGTCAAACCATCTTGCCCCAGTGTGGAACCTGCCCACTAAATTTTGCACCAGTGGAAGATTCTAAACCATCTTCAGAGGCAGCCCCACATAAACCTGTTGCAGTAATCCAACCTAGAGGTTACCAGATCATTGATGACAGAAGTTAGGCTATCTCTGTCCAGAATGGTGCAGCTGGGCCACCAGCTGAAGCTGATAGAGGGCACTCTGCAAAACTGAGGCTACCTGAGCCTCAAGTGACAGCAAAAGATCCAGAACAGTGGGTCCCCAGCCTTTGGGTCCCCAGATGTTGTTGGACTACAACTCCCATCATCCCTGACCACTGATCATGCTGGCTAGGAATGCTGGGAGTTATAGTCCAACAACATCTGGGGACCCACAGGTTGAGAAACACTGATCCAGAAGTAGCCGCAAGCTGCATACCAACTCCCTAAGAGGGAGTGTAACCCCACCAAGAGCAGGCAACTTCCCACCCACCCCTTCTAGGGGTGTCAGTCTTTGGATTGAGATTTAGTTTGCTGCCTTTCAGGTAGTCCAGTACTTCCACTGCCTCACCTGCAGGTGTAAAGGAGTAGAGCTGTGTGCCATCAGCGTATTGCTGACAACATACTCCAAAACCCTGGATGACCCCACTCAGACATTTCATGTAGATGTCAAACAGTATACGGGATAAAATAGAATCCCGAAGAACCCCACCTTGAAAGTTCCACTGGGCCAAACCCTAGTATCACCCTCTGGAAACAACCATTCAAGTAGGAACTGTCAGGAGTTCAGCCTACACTCAAGTAGGACCCTGGCAGAGACATATGCCCGACTGGCATGTTCCCTCCCTTCTGGTCAATTGTTCGGTAGCTTCATAAGCCTTCTTCAGCCCGAACATCACAGAGACTGATACCAACAAACACCAGCACACTTAGGGATCCGCAGAGTTTGCGCATCATGTGTAACAGACCTCAGCAACTCAGCATTTTGGCTAATCTACTTTTATTTACATATAAACACACATGGAGCACTGCAACATGGCTCCCTCTCTCTCTAGCATCAGATAGCAAAGAGAAAAAGAACAAAGGACAATAGTCCCACTTCACAGAACACAGTAACACAAACATCCTATTTCTGTCACTTCCCACTCTGTGGAGTCAAAACATATATCGTCATGTGATAGATAAAAGTCCCATGACTGCAGTCATGGAGCAGGAATTCTAACAGGAACCACCTTTGTGGAAACACAACAAAACAGTGCCACTGATCCCCAGCACAGTCACTCCAGAAAGATACCATGGTTGATGGTATCAAAAGTTGCTGAGAAGTTGAGGAGAATCGACAGGGACACATTTCCCCTATCTCTCTCCCTACAGAGACCATCATACGGGGCAGCCAAAGCAGTTTCCGTGTCAAAACCAGGCCTAAGATGCAACTGAAATGGATGTAGAATATCAGTTTCCTTCAAGAGTGTCTGGATAATACTCAAGCCAAATTACAACCATCCTTCAAAATTTGCACTTCTCCAAATTTTGCAATGCAATTCTGTAGCCAAGCAATGTGTAGAAAAATGCATGTGCTGAGGGAAAGTGTGCATAAAAAATGCACATGCCAGTAAAAAAATAGCACAAAATGCATTAGAGCAGGGAAGACATAAATATTAGAAGAAAATACACTTTGCAAAAATGTGCATGTTAGCAGAAAGTTGCACACAAATGCTGATGAATTTTCAGAAGGGCATTTTTTATATCTATAAAGCAAATTGATGTGGAAATGTGGAGAACTGAATTTAAGATTGGAAGAAGGAGAAACAGAGAGAAATTGAAGTTGAGAAATTGGGCTATCCCTAGTTTCCTCCCCTTTCCTGGCCTTTGTACAGTGGAACCTCTACTTACAACCATAATCCATTCCGGAGGTCTTGTCATAACTAGAAACATACATAAGTAGAGGCGCACTTTTCCACAGAAAGTAATGGAAAAGTGAATTAATCTGTTCTAGACGATGAAAAACACTCCCTAAAACAGCAATTTAATACAGATTTTACTGTCTAATGAGACCATAGATCCATAAAATGAAGGCAATAATCAATGCACTGTACTATGAAATAAATAAGACAGTATTGTAGATTTTAAAAAAAATTATTTATTTTCTTATGTGCACGGAAGGTGGGTGGGCTTACCTGGCTACAAGCTGGGGGTGGGGCAAAGGTCAGCAAAGAGCTGATTCAGGGTCACTTTTTTTTCTTGCCAGGCCATGTTCTTCTCTGGACTTCCTCAGATTAGTTCCTTGGTGGGCTTTGGGGCTACAGTGTGCCCTGCTGTGCCTCTTGCAGGTGGTACCTCTTCCACAGCTTTGGGGGTGGGATGGGGGCCCTCTTCCCGGCGGCAGAGGGCCGCTCTGCAGCCGGCGGGGTGAGCTCCAGCAAACTGGAGGCCTCTCTCCAGCGGCGGAGGCCCCAGCGCTGCCCCGCAGCCGGCCAGGTGAGCTTTGGGCTGCTGGCAAGGCCTCTGTTCGTATCTAGAGGAAAGTTCCTAAGTCAAAGTGTTGGACTTGCTCCATATTTGCCATTGGGTCCCCGGAGCACAGATTCACACAAAGTGGCAATCAACCTTACAGGATTCAAAAGGATTTATTTGAAATGCATATGCAAGACAAAGGCACAGCGCGATAAGCTCGCAATCTGCACACCCAATTCTGAGCATGCCAGCTTTTTATATTCCTTAGAATGCATAGACACGTGTTCACATGTAAAACGTGTGATTTACGCTAATATATAGCTTTGTTTCTTGTGTTACCCTCCTCCTTTTCAGTTCGCCTCCTCCTTTTCAGTCTCCCCCTGTCTGGGGTTACAATAACACCCATTCAATCTTGCTCTTATCTCTACCCGCCTAAGCCAGACATTCCAGAGAGAGAGGCCCATTTTCACTGTAACATCTAAGCAAGAAGAAAAAGCCTTGTTCTTCTGGCTGGTGTAAAACCTCCCTCCCCCCTTTAAGGAAGGGGGTTTGGGGATAACATATGAGAGAGGAGAAAATCCCTCAAACAGTTTTTTGGATATAATAATAATAATAATAATTTATTATTTATACCCCTCCCATCTGGCTGGGCTTCCCCTGCCACTCTGGGCGGCTTCCAAAAAAATATTAAAATACTGTAATACATCAAACACTAAAAACTTCCCCAAACAGGGCTGCCTTCAGATGTCTTCTAAAAGTCTGGTAGTTGTTGTTCTCTTTGACATCTGGTGGGAGGGCGTTCCACAGTGCAGGCACCACTACCAAGAAGGCCCTCTGCCTGGTTCCCTGTAACTTGGCTTCTCGCAGAACAATATTCTAATGGCCCTTCAGAAGCACCTACTGAAGGTTGTAACTGGAATCGTGCGCAAGTAGAGCTGTACATAAGTCGAGGTTCCACTGTACAGGTGACGCTCCCAGTGGGTTTAGCTTGCTTGGTGTATTTCCAAGCTGGCATGAGACATTTATGCTTAATCTCAAGGTTGTGGGTTCGAGCTCCACGTTGGACAAAAGATTATTGCATTGCATGGGGTTGGACTAGATGACCTTCATGGTCTCTTCCACCTTTACAATTCTATGATTCTATCTCTCAGCAAGCATTTTGCACTTGGCTTGAATGAGAGTTACATCTGACCACGGACTTCACCTTTTGCTGATGCTGGCCACTTTCACCTTAAAGGTGATTCCCTTGAAGCAGGCTTTTAAAATAAGATTTGTCTGGCAAAAGGACAAGTAGTGTTCTGCTAATTAGCAAAACCTCTACTTAACATTTCATTTCTTGGTCAGGGTCATTTCTGGAAAGAAACACAACTGATAATGAGCTCCTTTTGAATGGAATCCAGGAATGCTGGGGTGTTTTATATGTATCTGGAATGTAGTTAAATGTGTGGCTGGAAAGGGAAAGAAGCATTCGGTTAAAGGACTTGCCTCATTTAAGTGGTAATGGATATATTGTAACATAGCAGCCTTTCCTGAAAAAGGTTCTAGAGAGCAAGAATGACCAACATGGTCTATGAACCACAACTCTTTCTCCTCCACCCTCAGTTTGACGGACTTGCCGCTGTCACCACCCACTGTTGTGTTATAAAAGGGGTAACATCGTCACCGGCTATATAGTGAACAGACATTAAAGAACAGAGGAATTTAAAGAGTTGTGGGGAAACTGCCCATACATGAGGCTTGGTATAATATTTGGAAATAGAAAATGGAACAGTTAACACAAAGGATATCAATTCTACTTGTATCCACACACAAGCAGTGTTCCACTAGTGTAGCATGGCTTCCGTCTGCTCTCCTCTCCGGAACGGACTTTGGCCTTTCAAATTTCAGGGGTGCCATGTATATGGTCAAAAATCTGTGCCCCTCCCTCTCTCACCTTCCATTCTGCTCAGCTCACCACATCATAGTTGCTGCACCCTGAAGCACCCTTGAAGCTCAGCACCCAGTAGAACTGGTCACACTGCCCTGAATTCAGCTCTGCTGTTCTTCCCTATTAT